GTTCAGGGAACATAAATAATGACTCAAAATAAGATTTTTTTTTATTCATTTATTATTATACTTCAATATATACATATTCATAATTTACAAATCAAAAATTCAAAAATGAAATAATTTATATTTTAAATGTTTTATTCTCGCACAATCATAATATGTTATAAAATATCATCCTTGAGATTTCCACGTAAAGTAGACAATATATATTTCAAAGATGAAAATTCACGTTCTACCCTTACCTAAAATAGATAGTTATCTTTATAAAATTATTGTACTTGTATCGCCGGTACAGCCATGAAGATTCTAGATAAGATATATAATTCTGGATATATTGAAGAATTTTCTTCCCAGAATTTTAAAATATTTATATCCTTATTTATTCTCTTAACTCCTAAGAACTTTACTATTAAAGATGCAATAGACATTTTTTGATCCTCCTTTCTATCTGATGATAATTTGATTTTTTTTTCTCTATCTAAAAGTAAAATTTCAAGATCATTAATGTTGCTATCATTATTATTATCACTAAAACCAATAGGTATTGTCGTAGCCTCTAATATATTGTAAATATGGAGTTTTGCTTATGCCATAAATCCTAAAGATGGTCTTTAGCCATTTGTTTTTGCTCAATACTCAATAAAACTTGATATCGAGGGTCTAAATATATAAAAGCGTATACAACACTATTTTGCAAATATTGTTGCTCTCGAATTTTCATGTTTTCTAATATTTCGTATAAAAAGGACTAAAATTTTCTAAATCTAATCGGCATCTAATCCATATGCCTTAAAATCAAATAAACATAATTGTTCTGATTGTAATCTTAATATTGTTATTTTTAAAGTTGTGCATTATCATTTAAATTAAAATATTATTACTTGTACTACAATTCACTTTCAAAATAATCAACATATTTATATAACATAGCATATTAATAAATTTACATAATAAAATATTATTACACTGGAAAATAATTTATGATATCAATCTCTAAATATAATGGAAGTCCAGGAAGAAAATTGAAAGAAAAACGCGAAGATAAAATAAATGATTCCACAAAAAAAGTTAATAAAATTTAAAAAAATTTATATTATTTTTTAAATAAATATTTTATTTTTAAAAATCTTTATAAAACCTAGAACCCTTGGACCCTCCATTTTTAAAAAGGGTCCGGGTTCGTGTTCAGCCAAAATACGAGGGTTCAGGAGGGTTCAAGGTCCGGGTCTGGGTTCACATCCCTGGTACCTGTTAATATGATTAGATAAAGAATCGGTTAGACTCATCACTGTTTTGAGTACTTCAGCATTTTTGGTATCACAGAATAACATCATCATAAATAGTTTCACCTCAAGAACGATCATTACAAATATAATTGGTAAAATCCAGATTTAGTAAGTAGATTCCACATGCAGAAAACCAAATTAAAATATTTTGTGGAGCCATTGACCTTTCTTGCTTTACAAATTTATCTTTTACCCCCCAAAATATAGCCCCAGGGAGTGAGCTAGCTTAAATAGGCCTGCAATCATTTTAGATAAGCTAGTAACTTAGTATCAAGTTTAGCAGGGAAGACATTGAAAATAAATATATTCTATAAATTGCATGAAATTCAAAAAAATAAACTTTTGTCTCAAAAGTATAGTTGAGTAATTGCTATACATTTAGCCGTTTAAGCCAATTTTTAGCCGGCTAAAAAATCCGCTAAACCAGTTTTTAGCCGAAAACGTTTTTTTTCAAGCATCTAAAGATTGAGCCGAATAGCCTAATATACTCTAAAGAGAAAATACTAAATAAAAAGTTGGTAAATAAGGGGTAAAAATTTTTTTTGACGAACATCTTTTGATTGCAAGGTTCCACTACTAATTAAACAGTAGCTGCTTTCTTTACCTTACCTAAAGTTTACCCCGGTCTCCCCTACATTGTTTTATATATTAAACCTTAAAAAGTAACCATTTTAGAAGTTTTCAAGAATAAAAATACTTTTACCACCAATATATATCAAACATAAGAGAAGAAAACCCCTATCCGTCTAACCAAAAAGATATTTTATAGTGAAAATTTTAATTATTCTACCAAGGTTGAAACAACAATTGAATTTGTATTTTTTTTATATATTTATGTTCTTAGAATACTATTGATGATTAATTATTAACGATATAATTCGTGGGCTGAGAAAATTTCCAATTGGATTTGATGCAAATCTATCTAATTTTAACCTACATACAATCCTATATTTTATAGGATGATGATTTGCATATTAATTTAATATATAAGATTATTTTAATATTTTTTGATAACCCTGGAACATTTATAACTATATTTATAATAAAGCAATAAAAATTTCACAAATAGTTTCGAATTATTTTTAACCAATAAGTTTCAAATATTTAAAAAAAAAGAGCCCACCCCCCTAGCAAAAATCTTGAAGGCGCCCCTGCCCAAATACTTATATATATTATTTATCCCGTTCTAACTTGCAGTACAATATTTTATAAGATTCACAAAAATAATGAATTATTAAATTATTTGACAAAATTGGAAAGTTTTTTTTAAAAATAACTCTACCTTCCAAAATAATATTTTATCATTGATTGATATCAACAATTTTAGAATGATAGTGTAATGCATAATATTCAGCAAGCAATGGTCCAAAAAAATTTGCAACTTGTATTTCTTTCTTATATTAAATACAAGGTTAACATAAATATATTCATAATTCTTAAAATTTTATTTATAAATGAAAATATATAATTTATTTTTTAAAGGTAAAACACAAAAAATATAAATTTACAAAATCAAATCGACTGACTAAAAAATTTCCTGATAATTTGTGTTAACTATTTATTTTATAAAAAAAAAAATAAAAAAATAATGTCTCTTTGAATTTTGATTGACAATTTAATTTTTAAAAAATATAATGAATTCCGCAAAGCGTAAAACGTATTTAAATAAATGTTTTTTTTTTAACAAATAACTCATACAGAAGAAATCAAAGATCTGCAGTCAGGATTGGAAATATCTAGAAAAACTTAAAGCTTGGAAACGATTTAAAAAAATTTATTTTTAATTTATTAACTTATTAGTTGGAAATTAATAGGTAGCACTTAATAACCTCCTTATTGCTCATATTTTTAATTGACCTTTGAAACAATTTGCAAAATTTTTAGAGTCAAAAATTATTAAAAATTGATCGCCGCCAGGTCAAATTTTTTTTAAAAAATATCTTGGACTAGGCTTGCAAAACAGAAAGTCCAAACTCGGACAGGCCTTAAAATTATGTTTTTTGCAAGTATTTAGAAGAAATATTTGGAGTTTTATTAGTTATTGTAGCTTCACATTCACGGGCTGGGCAAAATTCACCCCGCTTAAAGTCGAAATTGCTTTTCGCCTAAAATATTCCCCATTTCAGTAAAAAAATATTATCTATTCGAGAAAACGGAGCTGTTTAAATTTAAAAATGGATTTTAAGACGCTCAAATAATATACAATCTAAAAACGCCACTGATATTTATCGGAATTATTAATTTATTAAATATTATATTGTGTATATTTTATATAATAAATTGGTTGATAAGTTTTTACATTATAGGTGAAAAATGACTAGGTTGAGAAATCATGTAAATAGTTTCGAATAGAAACATTAGTAGATTTAGTTTGATTATCAATCTCACAATTATAATTGGCTCTAATATATGTTTTCGTGAAAATTGAAAGTGCTCTTGAAATTTAAAAATATGGCAAATTTTTTTTGTCATATTTTTTTGAAATATTTATTGATCAAATCATCATTTTAAAATTTCTTAGGGGCTAATTAATTATCAAACTTTAACATAAAATTGTCAAAAAATGTTTCTATAACTTATATCATATTTAGGTTTGTTATATATATTATAGTATATATATATAACTTGGATGATGTTTTTTATGACTCTATAAGAAAAAACACTTTATTTATATGCAAATTATTTGTTATGTATTACATTCGATATGTAATGTATGACATTATTTTATTTTTTACCAAATTTTATCAACAAATTTTGTGATAATTTTTTTTATTAAAGGGACTAAATTTAATAATATAATAGTAATGTTGATTCTTTATGAATTCTTCTTTAATATAAAAACAAGTGAAACCCAAAATTATTTTTGTAAAAATCTAATATAGCCAAAGGCCTAATAGGTGGACCTAAATCTCTAAATAAAACTTATGGGAAATTTTTTATCTAATAATGCCCCCCCCCCTACAAAATCGAGGATAAGCCTTATGGGCTGGTTTAACATATTACAAATATTTTAGATAAACTGAGAATAACTACTAAATATTTAACAAAAAAGTCAGCTTGAACTACTATACTTAATAAAAGTAGCTAATGATGTCAGTTCCTGAAATTGAAGAAAGAAATGAAAAACGAGGAAAGAAACGGAGATAAATCTTAAATTTGTGGTTTGTTTCGTTTAGTCAATTTTTTAACGACTAGTATGAGTCTTAGTAAAGTATTAACTTCTTCTAGATCTAATTTCGAATTAGAAGAATTTTAAAATTTAAAAATATTTTAAATAACAGATTTAAGAAATTGTATTCTATAAATTGAAATAGTGAGGTTGATCCTTAAACAATACCTTTCCCCCAAAGTAAATTGCAAACTATATTCAAATCTTGCCTAGTATTAGTTCGAATGTCGGATTGAATGATATAAATCAAAAGCAGCAGTAATTGCGGCAATGAATTAAATCTTCTGTACCATTCGTTTAAATTTCTGAATTAAATAATTAATTCCTAAATTTTTCATTGGTTCTCTAAAGGGTTTGCAGGATGTGATAACATACATCAATGGATTTTAAAGTATTGAGGGGTTTTATAATTTATATTTGCTTAATAATACTATTTAACCATTTTTTTTGTCTGATTAAATTTTTATACACACATCCATTGCTGTTATTTATTTTATATAAGAGAAAAAAAAAATAACATTTTCAATTTTATTTTTATATCTATATTTTTTTTTTAAATATAAAAAAAATTTTTTTTTTACAATTATATTTTATAATCTTATAATATTTACTTATTTTATAAATATAAATGATATATAATTTAATCTAAATACTTAAACTTAAGCGTCTACATTTACAAAAAAAATATCCCAAAATGGTAAACATTAGCAACGAAAATTTTTTCACTTACCTATCCGAAAATCAGTATTTTTATAACACTAACAATGATTGGGCTATACATGATTCGATAACTAAGTTGAAAGATGACATGAATGAAGAAATTATTCGCAAGAAATTTTTTGACAAAAACCTTTTCGACATCGAAGCCGCTACCTCTTTCAAAAATTACAAATATTCATACAATAACAATAATAACATATTTAAAACTGATTCGGGGATCACAATTTTAACGCCTACCAATCATTTTACATATGATTTTGACTCGCTCCATGCCCGTAGTCCTATGGTAATCTCCTCGAAAGGTATAGATACGAAATACCTGAATTATTGCGATAGTAAAACACATGTTGAGTTAAGTGGTGATGGGAATGGTTTTGGCCTAATTAATAATATACCTTGCGAGAAAAATGATAGTATAAATTCGAAACAAATGTCCGAATTTGATTTAGTTGTTAACGAGATTCCATACATTCCCAACCCCGAATGTCAAATTAATAATAATAATTCTGTTAATGGCCCATCGAGTCTACATCATTTTGACTCATTAAATTCTCTTCTTTACCGTTATCCTGACCTTAATCACAATTCTAATAAAAAAAGTAACTCTGAGGAAGGTGAAATTAATATCGATGTTAACCATCCTACAACTTTTGATGTTTACAAAATTTCCAACGAACTTAATGACGATGCTGTGGATAATGATCGATTGAATAAACCTCTGGGCAATTCGGGACTTCACTCTGAGAACAAAATCTATGATTTCGATCACAAATCCTCTATCCCGGATATTATGCCCTACAATTTTTACAAAAAGAGAAAAGTGAAGATTGAATGGGGAAATGATGAATGTTTTGCGAAGACTGATGATTTAAATCAAAACACTATTTTGAATAACGAACCAGAGTATAGAAAATATTTCGAATCCGTCGCGAATAGCAAATATTCGACATTTGGCAGATTTAAAAAGTCGAGAAACAAAAATATTGAAAACCCCGAAACCCAATGCCACTATAATAGCCACCATGACAAAAATCCAATGTATATCGATGAAGAGAAAACTGAAGTTAAAAAAGACTACACTCAACCTCAATTATATTGCAATCAAAACCCATCGCCTACAAACACTGGGTGTTACAAATGGATGCAAATTAAAAGGAATAATGGGAATTTAAATAACAATTCTTCTTTCAAGCCGTTTGCCGCCCCTGATTTAAGTATATATAATCTCACTTTTTTTTAAAAAAAGTTGTATAAAATAATTATTTAAGACTAGGATGCTTTAAATATCGATTAGTTTAGATGAGTCACACTAAATGAAATAATTCTAAAAAAATTTACTATACTTCTATATAAGTTTAATAATTTTAATAACTTTGGTTCAAACAGTTACAAAAATCAATTATTGCTTCTAATCTAACTTATTTTAAATTTTATAAATTTCATTTTTTAACCTATCACAATCAATAGCATCACTGGGTGGAGGGCACAAGGGCTCAAGCCTCCTTAAGAATTTGAAAAGCCCCTGAGAATTTTTAAAAACTTAAAAAAGTCATTTTTAAAATGCTAGCCAAAAAATACGGTCATTTTCAAAAATAGCAGGGAAAAAAATCAGAAATATAAGAAAAATAATTTTCGAGCCCCCTGAGATTATAAAGGCTAATGACGACACTGATTACAATTATCTATATATAATATACTCTGAAGAAATATTATCGGATATGATATAAGGCGAATTGTGCCAAAAATATGATAAATTATTATCTATGGGTTTCCCTACATCGTTCACAATAAAGATAATTTGAATTTTTGATTTTTAAAGATTTTTTATTTATTTTCATTCCTATACTTTTAAAAACCTTAAAAAAAATTATCATGTGAGTTCACCTCAATAAAATAACTTTACTTAAGGTCTATTTTTTTCTTCCCATTTCCCTGTATCACCTAATCACGTCAAAAATAGAGCTGATATATAATATACAGCTGTTATTATAATGTGTAGTACTATAATTATTTTATTATATAATGGTAAAATTTACTCCACTAAAAAAATTTTGAACATTTCTCTCAAAATATATTTTTCAAAGCGTTATTATAATGTGTTTAATTCAAATATTATTATAATATTCGAAAATAATATATATTCACTTAATATACATTTTGTATAGGTGGATTATGAATGAGATTTAAATATATTGAAAAAAAAATTCTTTTATCGATTGATAGATTTATATAAACTTATATTTTGTTGAGTTTAGGGTTGATTTCTTAAAATTCTACTGATATTTACATAGCTTCAAAAAATCTCTATATACTACAAAATTGATCTAAATAGTTAGAACTCTATAATAATTTAGCGACCATTTTAATTTAGATTTATAGTAAAAAAAATAAGGGTGAATTCTTATATTCTTTCATAATCACATTCTCTTTGCAAATACCATTATTTTTTTTAAAGATTATTATTTTAAAATCTCCAATATACAAAAACGATTCCAGATACTTATATATAATATCCCTTATAATCGGATTATAATATTGTTATAAAAAATTTTTTAAATGTCAAAAATTGGGAAAAAAACTTTTTTTGTTATTATAGGTTATTAGAAACTCTTCTAAATAATTTATTATCTAGAAATGCATTTTATCTTGTGTAAAAAGCCGTTACGAATTTCAGAATTAATGGGACCCCCCCCCCCCCATATAAATTAGTAATACATAAAAGTTGTTAAGGAAAATTGTATGAAATTTATAACTCTTAACTGTAAGTCAGCTCTGTTGTTGACCGGGCCAAAAAAGTTTTCGGGTTAGGCCGGATAACTTGTGTAAAATATATTTATGGGTTGGGTATGAATTTCGCAGGTTTTTTTAAAAGCTCAGTTATGCAAATATCCTTTTCCTTCATAAAAAAATGATTGCGGTCTGGAAAATTTATACAAAATTATTTTATGGGCTGAGCCAAAACGAGAAGATGGGGCCGGCCCGCCAAATCGACCTCTACTCTACTCATACTGGAATGCATTTCTGGTCTATCACATTTTTCAAATTTATAAATCACCTTCAGTAAATGATTTAAAATTGATATTCCGTCTCCATTGATTCCATATCCTAATACGACATGTGTAACTATAAAATGGAATATTCCGCTGCATATATACTTTTTCTTTTTAGTATATTTCAATATATATTATAGACATTATACCTAAGGCTTTAGACATGGTGGTGATGAGTAAGTATTATTAATTTATAACTCTTTTACCCCGTAAGGTTGAAATGTAATGCGTATTTTATATTTAAAAAAACCTTAAATAATGAAAATATTTTACATTATTTCAAAACCACCCCAAACTTTGTGTCTAAGTCTATAATGCAATAAATTATAATCAAAAGATATCAAACATTTTCACCTGTCTTTTTCAAAATCTTACGTAAATATCTCTATCCTTATTTATAATTATAATATTGTTATAGGTTTTTTCAGTCTCGACCAATTTTTTTTATGAAATATGAAATATTTGTTGGATATTTAAAATTATCAATATATTTTTTTTGTATTTGAATACATCTTCGCTATTTTTTCCCTAAATAAATATTCGATGGTTTATTGTGCATGTGTTAACTTAAAAATATTAATCGAAATTACAATTAAATTTTAATTCATGAATTGACCATTTTAAATGCTAATACAAGGGGAAAATTGAATAATCATTAAGAAATGTTTCTAAAATTGATTTAAGAAGATATAATATTTACCTATAAATATATCGTCGCTTGAGTATTGGATCAAATTAACTGACATTTAATGTTGTTAAATGGTTAAATTTTTAAAAACGGTTAACCTAAGATTTTATTAAAAAATATTACGAGAGCCTAGGGATTTTTCTTATAGGTGGTAGAAAGGTTTGGACTTCTATTAACGAAATCTAGAGGCCTGCATAATATTTTTTGGCTAAAATATTGCGTTCGCCGTTTTTAAAACGAGCCGTTTAACAACACTACTGACAATTGAGATAAGGGATTTGATTAAGACTACTTATGATTATTCTTGTGTATATAAAAATAAAGGAAAAATATTGCGTCGAATCTACCGATGTTGGAAAATATAAATTGGGAATTTTATAAAATTTTAAATTAACAATTAAATATTATTTTATTTCAATAATAAAAATGATCTCCGCTACTAGTTACTTTATAACCCGAAATATTTATATCGGAGGCATCTGCAGCAGAATTAATATCGAAGCTCTGCCTGTGAAAGACCTAGCTTCTTGGTGTTGATCTTAAAAGGATATTATTTAATAATAGCCAGTTCAAATAACACATTATGAGCATCATATGCATCTCATATTCTAGATCTTCCTATTAAATCATTGGAATATAACCAAAATGATAAATCACTAAAATTTTTACCGATTTCAGTACCTAAAATAACCAAATTCTATAAACTCGGGCTAGATCATAAACTATATCTTAATTCGAGCAGAGCTGAACTCAAAAATTTATAACCCTTAAATTAATCATAAGCATTCAAATTTTTTAAAATAACGACTATAATTCAAATTTTTTTAAAAAAAGAATTTTTATAAAATAAAGTGAAGCTTAAAAATTAAGATATAACATAGCCAAAGATCTACAATAAGTGGACATAAAGACATCCAATAAAAGTTTATGATGGAACCAGCCTAATAGTGCTTTACCCACTCCTCCTATAGAAAAATCGGATGGCCTATGCTTAATTAAGATACAAAATTTTATAGTAGTGTATAGATAGAATCATAGGTAGGACTTTGGTATGGAAGGAGTGCCCCACCCCCATAAATTTTATAGGTACATCTATTGCAGGTCTTTGACTGGGTTATATTTAAAAAATATTAATTTTTCTTTTTTTATTTATTAATAAAATGTTTTTATTTTTCTTTTAAATTTATTAATTATTTATTGTGACATTTGTATTTGGTGGAGGGGAGAAGGGGTGACGTAGGTGAAGCTTAAAATGATATTTACTAAAACAGACAAATTTCTGAGAAGGGAACGTTCCCACCTCCCCTCTTTGTCTATGATATAATGGATTGTAAGTTTCCTAGAAATGACTTCAGAATTATCATATAAGGATTCGGAATCTCTCAAAAAGTTTATCTATGAGATAGATTTTTAAATATTAAAAATCGATTTTACCAAGAATGTATTTTAGCGTATAAGTTGTTAAAAGCTATTTTTTAAATGTATCTAGATAAAGATACAAGGCTGAAAAATGTGTGAAATATCATTTTTCCAAGATGACATATTTTTTTTATAAACATACAAGCCCATACTAACAGGAGGAGAATCTGCCTCCCACCGAAAAGTTTTGTTTCTCGTGGAGAACAAATTTATTTTTAAAATAATTATTTTCAGCTACTCGCCCTAAGTTTCAACAGTAAAGTTATCTTTTAAAAAAATCCAAATTTATCATTTTTAACGAAATTAGCCTTAACTACTTATAGTCAAATAAATAAATGACTAAAATTGGCAAAAATAAATTTTCGTTTAATTAAAGATTTGAAATATAATTCATTTTGAACAAGACCCATTAAGGTAAAATTGCATTAATTTCGTATATGCCAAACCAGAAAAAAAATCTAAGAATTGTTTAATTATTTTTAAAAAAATGTTATGTTTAGGCCATATCTTGTTAAAACACAAAATTTGGTTCATTTTAGTTATTTAAAAATTTTAATTAAAAATTCTTTATTAGTATAAATAGGTAAAAAAAAATATATATAAATTTATAAAAAAAGATCTTCTTTTATTATATAGATATTGTGGTAAATGTTATTATTTTTTAAAACTATATTTTATCATTGGAATGGACTTATTTACTCAGAGAAGTCCTGTTTTTGAAATAGCCTATAAGGCATTTTTTTTGGATATTATGATTAGTTTACCTGATAAAAATATTTACACCATGGAGTTTTCATATTCATAGACATTTTTGGGTATACTTTAAATTATCCCATCTAAACAGCTAATATTTCATTCAATATTTAGGATAGACTATTATTTTTTTCAATTATATTATATACTAGTTTTCATATAAAAAAATAACAAACGATAAATAAAAAAATACTACCGTTTTTTAATTAACTAAATTGTTGGGACGCGACAAATAATCTTTTATTTCAGAGGCTATCTGCTCTGCAGAAGAAAAAACAAATATGATTCAGGTGCTTAGGAGCCAAAAGGAAAGTAAAGAAAAGCGAGATTTACTAATTTTCAAAAAGGCACATCACGCGGCACATTTGAAAAGCAGAAATACTCTATATGGATTATGATTGCAATGATATTCCTATGGCTAATTCCCGAAAATCCCTAAATACAGAATAGTTAACATTAGTTCCTCTAAAAATTTCGTTAACTGGTACTATAAGAATATGATGTTGTGAATAACTGGTAATCTGCAAATGTTTTTAGAAGAAAAAGATCCTCAATGAATCGAGAATTTTAATTTCCCACAAAACCAAAATAGTAAACATCTTTCTGCTTCGTTCCACTTGCGACAACTAAGCAATTAGTCTATCGTCGTTGGTTTGTGTATTCGATAGAAAGAAGAAATTTGTTTTGTTGTAAACTCTTTTCAAATTCGAAACAAAAATTTTCAAACGAAGGCTGCAATGACTAGAAATCAAATCGCGTAAATGATCATGAATCCTTTTAAAAATATGTTGTTAGTATGCGGATCAAGCTAGAAAATCACATTGGCAAAAAGCAAACCATGGATGTAGAACACATGCCACAATTATAAAAATTCTTTAGCTTTGTCCAACGAATAAATATTCTCTTTTCTGCTCCAACTCAGCGATGGCAATTTTAGAGTGAATAATTTTACATTAAAACCGTTATCTGAGACGCGATTAGAGTGTAGGTGGAAAAGTGTAAAGGCGATCAGATATCAAGCTTGTGATATTTGTGATCACTAATAAATGAATATCCAACATATCTAATGATTCCAAATACAGAAGCAATTTCATTAAAGTCTCTTTTTAAGAAAAATGACTGGATTATTATGTTACTCGATCGAACGAGGATTTCGGACAAAAGTATTTAGGATCACTTTTCAAGTATAATTTTTGGTTTTGATTCGATATACCTGCAATTGGTAAATACGTTTAAAGGAAATAAAAAACTTGCAATTGATTAAATATTTTATAACCGATCATAGTTTTTTGAAAAGCGATATAAATACGCTCTGAATTAAAAATTTTAATAAATATATTGTGCAAAGTGACCATAGCCCTTTAAAAATTTTGAGCTATATTTACACTAATAGGATATTTTTCATCGAAAAATTTATTAAATTGGTTATTATTACCACTAAATTTATATTTTTGTCATCCAATGCATAAAATAAAACTTGTCTTAAATTGAAAAGAAATAAACTTAGGCAGATATTAATAAATTCAATATAAAAAATAGGATTAAATTTATACAGTAAAATTTATCTATTAAATTAAATACTGCTAAGATCTAGATAAGATACAGATACAATATTATTTTAACAACTCTGATAACTTATACACTTTTAATTTCAGATATCTCTTTCAAAAAAATTAAAAATTTGCCAAGGAGGAGGAACGGCTTCGTTACGCCCCCTCCCCCGGCTACGCCTATAAAATTGTTATTTTTTGATTGAACTGATTGACAAAACAAAGTTAACAAAATATAAGGTTGATGAAAATACGATAGTATTTTTTTCAAAAAAGCATTCGATATAAATATTTGAGGAACCCATCTTTTCTTTATATTACACCCTTATACCCTGAAGAATTAATTATTTTTTATTATTTTTCTTTAAAAAAAATTTATATTATGGTATTATAAATATTGTAAAATTTATATATATAATATACATATAATTTTCGTGTTCAACTGTTTATAATAATTTGTTTTCAAATTAATTTATTCCAAGATTTATATGTAGCTTCTTTAAAAATAAAATAAAATATCTTTTCATTGTCAAAAATGATAGAATTTTTTTTTATAATAAAAAAAATAAATAAAAAACAGGTATATTTAATTTTTTATTTTTTTAAAAAAGTTTTTTTAAAATATATTTTGACGAATTGAATAAATTAGCATATATAATTTATTCGCTGGTATGGTATTAGAGCAATTCAAAGTTTTCATAAATCGTTAAAAAAATAGTTTTATAGGAGCATGTTTTTATAAAAAACGAAACTATCAGAAGAATATAAATAAATGTCAAATTTTTTTACAACTGTATTTCAAAAAAAACCACTATTGGTATTAATTATAAAGCCACAGTATAAAATTGCCAATTTATTATTTTTTCCTTATTAAATATTTTCCAAGATAGGGAAAGTTATCAATATTTTTATTAGTAATATAATAAGGGAATGTGTTAATATATAGTAAAATTGATTATTCATTATAGTATTATATATATTTTGATTTTTTAAATAATAGCCAACACACTTTCATATTTGATTATAATACCCTTTTTTCATATTCAATCAAAATTATATAATAATTATGACATTTCCTTTATTTTTATTTTTCCTCTTGGCAGTTATGTTATATTTTTTTATAAATGATTAATAAAATCATGAGGTCAGTTTTAATTAGACATAATCGGATGTAAATTTTGAAATATTTTTGATTGCTAAATTATATTTATTAAATTTTTATTTTTAATGTATACACAATTAATTAAGGTTCGAAACAAACTTTCCCAAAAACTGGAAATAGCTTTCACAATATAGACAATAATTTTAATCAGCAAAGACATATTATCATGGAGGGTTCTGATATTTTTTCTAAAATGAGAGAAGAAGACCATTACTTGCCAGATTCATTTATCGGGGAAATTAAAAATCCTGATCAAAACCTAAAACGAGTTTATACAAGTCATCATGCCACTATTCCGCAGAAAGATTTCAACAATATAGAGCAAAAATACACTAATTCGCAGACCGATAAACAATTCGAAAGCAATCTTGTATCAATTACACCCAGAACCATTAACTCTAATTGCCAAGGAAATGACATTAACTTGGTTAATAATGTTAACACTGGTCGGACAAACTTTACCAACAAGCAGTTGACGGAACTGGAAAAAGAATTTCATTTTAATAATTACCTCACTAGATCTCGCAGGTTAGAAATTGCGGCTTCCTTAGATTTGAACGAGAATCAAGTAAAAATTTGGTTTCAAAACAGGAGAATGAAACAGAAAAAGCGTATTAAGGAGGGAACCATACTCGTAACGTCTAAACCTTCTATGACTAACACCTACCTCAATCAACATCATATCTATAATTATAATAATTGTTCCAATAATTGCAGTACAAACAACACCACTTGCCTATTAACTGAACCATCAAAAACGCTGAACATCGATATCGTGTCGTCACACTCAATTCTGAATTCTCGTGACTATAATAATGGCACCCATCATATTAACACTCATTTGTCACAATTGTCAAAATTTTCAGAAATATTGGAGCCCAATTATATAAACGAAGATCATGTCAAGAAATGGGATAATGAAAATTATAGAAAGAATGACCTGAATCTCATTTACACGAATTATGAAATATCGTCTCCAAACAATAATAATTCAATTGAATTCAACAAAAATGTTTCCCAACCAAAAGGATTTAACATGGGCCAAATGTTAACTGGAAACATAACCAGCTCTACTCCACCTTATTACATACAACGGATCATGACTAAAAAATCAAATACGGATGAAATTTCGGGTTTGGTATACCCTACTAATTCGTATTTAACCCCAATGAAGGATGTTTCTGATGTTAGTTTCGAGGAAAATTATAAATACACACAATCCCTGCCTTATATTGATAACAATCACTCTTCGGTCAATGTCATTCTGACTAAGTCTTTCGATACTAATTCTAATGGTAGTGAATTGACAGAATGCTTGGTAAATCATTCATCAAATTTTGAAAATGTAGGATTAATCAATAATGATAAGATATCAACTGCCAGGGATTTTCAAATTTTTTCACTCTACGAAAATAATTCTGCATCAACATTCTATTCACCTCCATCTATATCATCATCAGAGTGTCATTGAATTTCAATTATGATAGTGGATATTTTTAATTTTTTTTATAAAATAAAAATCCCTATTTCAATTTTAATTAAATTATAAATTTTATCAATGGTGTATATTATCCGTTAAGGAAAATAATATCTATTATACATGAATATCAAACAATACTCTCATAAAAAAAATTATTTTATGTCTATTTAAATTCAAAAATATATTTATTATAATATTTTATTTTTAAAAATTTTAAATAAAAAGCGTTTTAAATTAAATTGTCGAAAAAGGTGTAAAATGTAGTATAAAAAAATTTATTTTTCATAGTTATTACTTTTTAAATATGGGATACCATTTTAAACATAAAAGATTTTTTTTTATAGGTCATGTCATGAATAAAGTAGGATAGGTATTATTTTAATATAATTAAACTTAATAACGAATTTCTTCCTTGGTTTAGTGTAGTCTTTTTAATTAACCGCATCCACTTTACCCGACTTGTTTAGATAATTTATTTGCAAATATCCAGCCTGGCTCTTAGTACAATTAATAACGAAATTCGAATAAATGATTTTTATTATTCCAATCAAGCCTAGATTGATTTTTACTATTAAATCCTCCAAATACGTTAGGCCGGTTGAAACCACCTGGATAATTAATTTATCAAATCTTAAGTTTAGTCAAATTTGATTAATTGATAATTTTAACGAGAAAATAATTTATATCAATAACAAGGTGAGAGAAGCTAAAAAAAAAGAGGGGGGGGGGGTTTCAAGAAATGTTCCAAATGCAGAAATTTATGGGGTTTCAACATGAAACTTAATAAGTAAGAAATAATAAAGCGATAATCAAAAAAATCCGATACATATTTTGGAGATATCCATTAGTTTCTATGGAGTAGAGATAATTAATGAGCAAAAACTTATATATTAAAAAAAAGAGCACAATGTATAAGACCAGATGATATTCTTATAAAAGACTTTAGTCGGTCAATATATACCCCTGAGTTACTGTTGCAAAATATCTCCTAAAGACGCAATATTCATCTCAATGAAGCTGTCATTCTTTAAAAGTTAGGGGAGACCAAAGTCATATGAGTAATTTTTATGTTTGCGATAAGAAGAATTGTCCTAAGACTTAGACTAAAAATAATATATAGCTATAAAATAAAAGATTCTAGGAGCTTGATCTTTTAAAGTTTATGAGTTAGTCCTAAATAGTGAGATAGATTATTCGATTTACCCCATCAGTGGTAAGTTAGTATATACTCCCAATCAAACGCTTCTAGATAAACTAGAAATTTTGGCTTATTTTAATATGTAATATAGCCAATATAGAATATCTCATAAAAAATTTGAAATTTTTATTTTGAAGAAATACTCAAATAATTCGAAGAAAAAGGATAAAGTAACGGTCTTTTGCCTATATCGCTTGATTGCATAGCTCCCAATTCTAGTTAAATATATGGGAAATACTAGAAAGATATACCATCTGACCAAATTTGAGTTATTTCGTTAAAATAGTTAAAGGAGTTATAGCGTGTTTTGTAACCCTTACCTGAGTTCCCTACCTAAAATCAACACCCTCTCAATGAATTAATTTCATAAAACACACCATCTGGTTAATTCAATTTTTGGTTGCACATGAAATAAAAAAAATTCATTTACAAAAATATTCGATTTTTAATTTACTTCCCAGGTTTTTTATTTTTTAATATATCGCCGATCTAAAATTAGAGGGATCCACTTGCAAAATTGTTGAAACTGGGATAAAAATTTTAGATTCAAATATAAGAATATAGATTAATATAAGTAAAAAAAACTGAGAGGTAATTCATAATATATTCCAAATGATAGCCTAAAATTCAAAAATTTTTTGTGAGGATCTTATTTGATAAAATCAAAATGTAAGTGGAGCAAAATAAACCAATTTTTGTTCCAAATGCTCCATTTAAATTTCATTCATGATAATTTATTAAATTAAATCAATATAAACAGGGAATCATCAAATGATAAATATAGACATAAATCTTTATGTAATTCTAATTTATTCATGTAAATAATTAGCTGAATAAAAAAATACGCCAATATTTAATCGTTAATTTTTCCCATGCATATTTTATCGTAATTTTATCTATAAAACTTAAAGTGCACAATAGGTGATAATAAAATATGATAATATCATACTATATATATATATCAAAAATTACGAAAATAGCCCAAAATTGATAGTGTTATATCTGTATATTTATTGAATTAATTAAAATTCACTCAAAAATTTTAAAATATCAATTAGAGCATTTCAATTTTCGACAGACGATATGATATGTATAAAATAAAGTAGATTTTACTTCCCAATGCTTTTAACTTACTAATGATTTTAAATACCTCTAGAAAAAATTAATCCAAAGATATTTAAATTTTATTTTATCAAAGCTAATCAAGCAATGATATAAATATGATATTAAAAATCAGTTTGCCAATCAGAAAAACCATTGATGAACTAATAATCTATTCTTCATATCCTACTCGAAACCATTTCTTTATGTTGTTGTCACCCATGATGTCTTATTACCATTACTTAAACAGAACATATCTTCATCCAATTATCTTTGGCTTTACGTTCAATATGTCTAAACAATTCCAGCTTGCTCTTCTCATAACATCCTAATCGCTTTTATTCCAAGTTTTTTATGCGCTTCTCAATGTTCATCTTTTTCTTTCAGAGATATTTCATAGATCCAATCTATTTTATTTTTCTCATCCACGTTCTTTCCACTTTGGTTTAATGCGGCACCTTTGTTTGTCATGTTTTACCACCTTACATAGCACAAATTTTAACATAGCAGTCAACGAATATTTTTAATCTTTAAAATTATTAATGACACTTCTCTGAACTCTTTCCACGAAAACGTCGAGCCAACCTTCCCATCTGTGCTTATTATGGTTATCACTAAAGTATATAAACTTCCCCACCTTGTCCAAATTCTCATTTTCAATATTCAATTCAACCTTATCTAAGTCATCTCACGCACTTTTGTAAATATATGTCATTTATGTGTGCACTAGTTCTTCTTTTTACCGAATGCCTCCTTTATAAACACATTTCCGATAATAACATTTTTTTACCACATACACCAGAGGGGCAAATATCGGTTTCTTCCAGCTTATTTATCCTTCTCTAATCATTATCTTAATTATTTCTACATTCATTTCAAGTTTTATTACTTATAAGTCGTCTCCATTAGAAATTTTATTCCTCAATTCCGTTTTAATGTTTACCATCAATAGAAGATCATCAGTGTGAAAGAGTTCCATGGAAATTTTTGGCATATCTTTCTAGCTACTACCTCTTATGACAATTACTATCGGAACTCAAGAAGGATCGGTGTCGTCATGAGAATAAATAAATTGGAGGTAATACCCCTAGATTTAGTTGCTTGCGAAAAATATTCCAATTCTTTACACTCTTATGATCCTATCTATTACCTACTGAAAGATATATGGTGGCAATGAACCCCTCCCCCAGTCATATAGATACTGTTACTATAAAATATACATAATATTAATCAGTCATCCTAACCGAAGTTTGCACACCTCATACATTGCTAATATACGTCAATATCAGAGCTTGACTTTCTTAAAATCCACTATCATAAGCCCACTGCAAGTTTACGAATTCTTTGATATATTTTATGTTATTTTGACACAAAATTTTGTTTGTAATATCTTTCTCAATGAAGCCGAACTGCTTATCGTCGATTTTCATTTTATCCCTTATCTACTTCTTCTCGAAGACGTTTATTGCCAGCGTCTACATGACAGGACTGGAACCAAACTACCCTCAAAAACCTATATCTAAAAAAAAAATTTGCCACCTTCGGCGCCAATATTCTAACATGAGTAATTACATTTTTTTCTTCATTTATTTTAAAAAGAAACTTAAATTATCAATATTCTACTATCCGCTATCGAAAAGTAAATATAAAAGATTATTATTCAAACATGAATAATTAAAAGACCCCTCATTTACAATAAATTCATTATTATATATATTGTTTGGCATGAATATGAGTTTGCTGATAGAATGTCTAACCCTTTTAAATTACAAAAGCAGAAAATTATCTAGAAATTAGTTTTATTTGAAAAATAAATATGATTATATGTAATATATAAATTTGGTTGATGTTTAGCAATATCATTTACAGCAATATATTTTGACCTATTTCATCTAAAAATGTAATAGATAACCTGACTATAAATGTATCCTCCCAGCCTACCGTAAATGTCTGCCCCTACCCCCTTCCTTTAATCGAAGCAAACCGCACCTAATCCTCTCCCTTTATGAAGACGCTCTTCATTTCCTGTTTCTAAGGCATAATAACTCTATATAACCTGCAATTTGAAAGATCGTATTTCCCTTTGTATAATGGGATCATATATTCACATTATCCTTTTATATCGCAACTTTAATAACAATCCAATTACAAAGAGCTGTAACAATATACCTCAAGATCTTAAAAACCTTAAATATTTCTATCACCACGTTGGACCTGTTGCTTTATTGTTCCCACCTACTCCAAGCTTTCTTCCCTTTTTCTTTGCCCAAAATATAGCTAGGTCCTTCTACCTTTTCGCAATTTAACACCTATTTATTTACTTTATTCAATAATTTTTCAATGTACATTTTCCAATATTTTTAACGTTGGAATCGATCATCACCTTTCCAAAAAATTTTAAACCTTTTACATTTCGTATTTTACAACTTTTTGCAAAATTTTATATTTTTACTTTTTTATTGTTGTTTGAGACTGTTGTTAGAATTTCGATTTGTTGCCTTATATATATCTATTCCACCATCTTCCATAACTTTATTACATCATTTGTAACACCTGTTTTCCATCGCCTTGCTTCATTGCCTTCAAGCAGCTTTTCTACTTAGCTCTCCATTCATTTCTGCTACTTAGAAAACATCAGTGACTCGTGAGGCAAATTTGTTTCTTTCTCCATCAGTTTTCAAACTTATAGACATGACAAAAAGATTTTTTAAAACTAAACGATGTTAATCGACAACTTTCTTCACCTTGTTAACAATTTTTGCTATGCTTATATCATATCACATCACGAAAAAATCCATCTTAATAAATCCTTATTTATCATGTTA